CTCGTAAATGCGAGGAATTATCAGCACTTTTCTTTTTACTCGTGTAATAAATTGATGATAGCATCTTCATAACGATTATGATAAGGTGTGGTTGAATTATTGAGAAAAAAACGCACATTCTCCCTCTTTTGTTGTGTACCCTTGATTTGAAAGTTGCAACTGCAACACCATCCATGATGATATCATCGTCGTCGCCCACTATGCATTAGTGCTATGGAGTACTCACACTTGGCGTATGTGTGTGTGTGCCTTAATGTTTTAGTAAAGATTTAATTAGCTGTCAATTAGTGGAGGTGAAACCTGTGGGTTATTATTAGTACCCGTAATCCCATCCGTTTCTATCTGCACCTTTCCACTCGTCAGGTAACTTACTCTCAGTTATCGTGGATATAAAACTATTGAAATTAAAGGTACTGCTTACATGCACACGAGAACAAGAAGTCGTAAGAAAAAGACTGCTCTCGTTACACGACATTACAAACGATGACGTTACGTTTTAGTATTTTTCTCATGATTTGCTAAATTGGGAAAACAGAAAGGAAATGCTTTTAAATGGGGGGAATTTCAACACTTTATCCTAACCAAGTTACGCCAAGGTGTCATGAATCCCAGAACACCTTCTTTTCCACTGCGCATTCTTGCATTCTTCTCCTATTTGGTGGCAGGTAAATAGTGACAGTAAATAGGACTGTGTGGTTAATTAGCTAATTGTGGGATGTTATGTTGCCGTTGTAGGCAGCTTGAGCTGCAATTAAGCCTGTGTGGGTAGAGAATAGACGCAGAGTTCATCTCAGTTTAGGAGTTTTTTTTGTATTGTGGAGCAAAGTTTGCTAAGCAAACATGCGCCTGGTTAATTTCGTGGAATGCTTTTTTATTTTTCCATTTCATAGGTGGAATATCAGCGTTGAAGATGCAAATTTGTAAGTCATTACATTTCCTATGCCTTCAACAGACATGCAACGGACCAAAACTCCGGTTGGTCCTTTTGCATCTTCAACGACGATATTATGACCACGTCGTAAGTTTGGTTATGTAAGAGCACCCACTTTTGTGCTGCTCTGTGTCTCACTTGCTGATCTTATTAGTTGAGAAGTGTAACTGAGAATGGCTGTTGAATTGCACATTTTCATACCTAAAAAAAGTAAGTTAGTACCCGTTGGGGCAAAATTACGCTGCACGATGCAGTAAATGTGGTAATTTCGAGGGCATACGAAAATCCAACGACTTTTTTTATACGAATGTCAATTACTTGAAAGTTGACAAGGGATTCGCTCCAATCGACCATTATTTCTCAATGATTGATTTGTCTAAATTGAACATCGCCACGACGAGGAGATAGTGAGAGTCAGTCATTAAGAATTATTAGTGCACATGCACATTTATCTCCCTTCGTCTCGACTTGACCACCTCAACACAAATCTGTTGGTAGTAATTGAGATCAGTCAACAATTTATGAAGCTTAATCAATGGCAAATGCTAATAACTAACTGATGTGTAACTAATATAGTGGAGGCGTACCATATCACCAATCAATAAAAAATGTTGCCCAATATAATACCTCAAGTGGTCACAGTTTACTTTTCAAAGTGGTCCAATCAACGAATCATTTGAGTCGATTTTATTATTCTTTTCTTTCTGATGATCTTTTTGCAACTTGTCAATCATTTCGTTCTCCATTTCTCAATAGTCGAGAGGAGAGGAGTAGCTTTTATTAAATGAAAGTAAATATGTCTCTATAAAACAAATGTGGACTGGTAATAATGGTGCGTAAAAGGCGTCACAAATAAGCACATTTTCGCTGGAGGGCTGGCAAATTGATGAATTAATTCTTCTTCTTCTCAGTACGAAATCCGTAATAATTAAGGCTTGGCTGTACACATGCGAGTGAAGATGCCTCCCATTATTGCTCGCTCGCTGTCGATTAATTGAGTGGTAGTAGTGTGTGCGAAATAAAAGAGATGTATCAAATCAACAACAAACATTCGTCTTCCTTCAACACCCATTAGTTTAATTTTATTACGGCTGGTTTTTGCCACGTTGGATTTTCTAAGAATAAAAAATAGCAGAGGAATTTAAGAAAGTTGAGACTTTTTATGCACATGCGTACATATGCGGCTCGCTAGCAAATTTATTCGTATTTTTGCCCTATAATTTGTCGTTCCTAGAGTAATGCTTATTTTGGGTAGGGCTTCACTTTGACATACACGATTCTGGCCAGGATTCCGAGGAAAAAATAAAGCTCTTACATTTTAATGACATGTTTGGAAGCCAATGCCAAGCGAGCAAGAACGCGTTAACTTCAACTTCAACTGGGGAAAGATTATTGGCGAACATTAGCAAATTCAAGATTGCTGACACCAACATTTTAGAGTATCGTGTAATAACGGAGCCGAATGCTAATGAGATTTTGATTCGAAAAATTGAAAGTGAATTCACCCCGTCATCGTAGTAATTCCTTCCTTCCTTCCTTCCTCCCTTCGTGATGGTGTCGTTGCTTTATCTTATCAATGATAAGGAGAAGAATATAAACGTAGTCGTCAAACGGCTCTTGTTATACGAGTGCAGATAGATAGCAGGTATTGGCTGAAGAATGGGGATGTGTATGGATGACCGCATAAATATGCTTATCTGTACCCACGTAATTTCCCTTTCTTTTCTCACATGGTTCTTTTACCACTAAACTTGAACCGTTCTTGGTCGTGGTTATTTAGTTGCTAGTGCAGTGCGCATACATAACATGAGTCGTAATTTAGTGATGGTTTTACTTTGCTCTGCAGTCAAGCAACCGCTTTTGTCGTTAAACCGCTGAAATGTCAACGCCTTCGAGATTTCAAGTCAGTCAGCCAGCTACGTAGCTAATTGCACCTGGAAATGATTTGTCTTGGTGGTTGGTTGGATTTGTCATTGGGATTTGAATATGTAAAACCATTTCGAAACTATTCCTGCCACCAAAATCAGTGTTCTTTTATGGTCACACTCTGCGTAGATGTAGAGTGAATGTCTTGGGGCAGCTTTGGTTGAAACTGGGTTAATATTAATTGTTGTTATTATGTTTTATGCAACTGTTTGTCATTACCCTTTAATTGTTGAGATGCTGACAAGTGCAAATTATAATACTCCGGCTGCTGCTGCTGCTCTGTAAGAACAAGGACGAAAGAAAGGTTGATAATGGACCATTGCCCAATGGATACCAACCAAAAGGCAGCAACTCTCTATATCTTCCATTGTCCTACCACTTGGCTTGGCTGGTAGTCATAAATAAGAGTGACAATTACGGCCTGTTTTGTTGTTAGTTTGGTCCACGAACGAGCTACCAGTAGAATATATTCGACGAACGTCTTTGGTGTGCATAGGTGCTGATAATGTGGATAATCGTGATGATTATTGCCGTTGTCACTGCGTGTTGCATTATGGAATACGTCATGATTTTTCAAACAAAACAATTAGCCGTGAAACAATGATGGCAGTGAAGAAAGAGAAGGATGCGAATCCACCAAACTCATGTTTTATATGTTTTTTGAGAGTGCAAGTGAGATTTCGTAAAAATTTGGTGTTTTAACCATGCAATTTCAAATCTTTTGTTATGAATAAGTTGAACATTTTGTGATTTGAGTAATTTGCATGTACATTTATTCCGGATGAGGATTGCAACTCGCATTCACTTATTATTCCACAACCTCAAATAGTAATAACGCACTCACTCTTTAAACCATTACATCGAGACCAAGCAAACTCAACTGTAAAATAATACAAGATTTGATTTCGAAACGGGAAACTTGCTGAATTTATTCAAACAATTTCTGCATGCACCTTTTCCCACTCCCGTAACTAATCTTGAATTTGGTGAATTTGCATTGTTCCGACTTGTTGCGTTGCATTATGACTGCGGTTGCTTAATTCACTTTGCAATTTAGCTTGAATAATAAAGGATGAAATTGATCCTTTTATATAAAAAAGGTTCATGGAACTGATGCGATGCCGCGGCGTTGTCGTTGTCGCCGTCGTCGTCGTCATCGTCGTCGGCTGATGGGATGATGATGATGAGAATGAGATGAATTTCAGAGAAATGTGTCCTTGTCCCCCATCAATCAAATTCAAATAATCATCGTCGTTGGTTTGTGTGCATCCAACTGTGCAATTAAATGCAGATTAGTACCGTTGAAACAAAAGTGAAAGCAAAATAATGCAGTAAAACCAACCAACAGACTATTATTACTCTTGTTGGGTTTACATTTTGTGCAGCTATCGTTCGACTTTTCGTTTCGTACGTACTACGTGTAATTAATTAGTGTTTAACTTGCATTCATCGAAGCCCTAGAATTGAATAGAATTTGATTGTTATTATTATTTTCGATTTATTTCCAAGCATCGCACACACATTGCGCAATCTCTTCTCTGCAAATAAGTTGAAGTTCAATAGATTGGAATAGAATTGAATTGCTTTCAACAGATTAGTTCAATTTAGTTAGTTCAAGAGCAGCTCATAGAAGATATTGAGCATATTATACGCTTGGTTTGGTTCTATATTAGATTTCTTGGGGCCATTTTATGTCATCGTTTCTCTCTCCCACTTGTTGTAGTACGCAGACGACGACGATAATATTGTCTGAGAGAGAGAAGATAAAATCAACAATGAAGCAAAGAATGGGTGCACAAACAGCAGAAAGGAATGAGCAACTCGGTCACGATCATTCATAGGCGGAGAAGGTCACTCGATCGTCGCACAAAAACGTGGTTTATGTGTTGATTGCTGATTGAATAAAATAATATGGAATTGAAGGTTTTTTTAGCCCAATTGATCCCGATCGATCCATTAAATCAATTATTTACATTTTTCTACTACAATTTATTATTTCGCATAAATTTTCGTACAGTAAATTTAATGCATTGACTGACATAGTAACCAAGATAAAAAAAGCAAAAAAAATATTGACTTTGCAAGAGAGGTCAGTCAGTCAGCTGAGAATTGAGAATATAATTTGATTCCTTGATTTTTCCAGGTTGGGAAAAGTACCACAACATTCGTCCGCCCAGCACGACGGTGATTTTCAGTTCGCACGAACTCCCAAAACCAGTCTCGCCAACAGTCTCTGGATTCACTCGCTCCGTGTCCTGCGACTCTAATTTGTTCAACAACAAGACGGGCTTCACCCAGTCCACGATCCCACCACCAGTTGCACAAGTTGCCCCCCTTCGCGACCCTTACTACCACCACTACCACTACGCCCAGTCACAATCCTCCCTCCTCGAGTTTGAAAAGGTGGTGGCAGTTGAACCCTTCCACCACGAATCGTCCTCGTCATCATCATCCTCCGCCAGTTCATCCTCCTCTCTCACATTCTTGCCGAATGGTAGTGACCTTCACCTCCTGCACAACGGGACTTACGAACAACACAATCCTCCCCCCTTGCCACCTTCGATAAACAAGGCCAACACGGTGATGGTCTCACCCCTCCAGTATAATAGTGACCATAGAAGTAGAAATTATCAAAATCCGAACCACGAGAAAATGGGGCAAACGAAATCGACCAGCTTGAAGGACAAGTCTCTCCTGAAAAATTCAGAGTTGTCCCTTCGAGTCAACTGCACGTCAGATGTAGGATCACAGACTGAGTTGAAGGAGAAGGAAAATTTGAACAATGGGAGTAGTCCTAGTCCAACCCAAAATATCGAAAAGAAGACGACGGCGACTTCACCCATAAGGTCGGGCTCGTCTTCGTCTACTACGAGCAGCAGCAGCAGCAGTGGGGGGAGCTGTTCTTCGTCGTTTGACGATTCATCCGGTGGTGGGGGTTCATCTTCGTCATCTGCCAAGGGGAGCAGTGGGCTCAGCGGTGGGGGTTCATTCTCAGTCATTCCGTCATACACCGGGAGACAAAAGTCAAAGGAGGAGCTGGAGTGTGAAGAATTGTCGAGAAGTTTGATTAAGAAATTGCCACAGGGTGATAAACTTCAAAAAATTTTAGGTGAGTTGGACGATGATGACCAAGATGAGCTTGATTAATGAGGGTTTCATTGGTTCTAATGTAACAATTTATTTGTAGTGCCATTACCGGAGCATAAAACGACGGCGGATTACATGGAGGGATTGTTTCAATTGGAGTTGAAGTTGTCCAAGCCAGAAAAGGAGGAGAAAGAGACTAATACATCACCCAGGTCGAGTCCGGACTTGCTTCAAAGTCTGCCCAAGGGGGATGGTGGAAAAAATCCATCAAAGACACCATCACCAACTCTCATCTCCCAGCAGGATGACAAGAATGTGTTCGGAAATAAGGGTGGCAGTGCAGAAGATGGGAGTCAGGATTCTAATAAAAGGTAACCAGGACTCGATTTTATTCCATGTTTAGTTTTTCGTTTGCACGAAAGATATACATTGCGGTTTTTTATGTACATCATCATGAGTGATGTGTGGTTATTGGTACTCTCGTCAGATATGAAAAATCAGGTGCATCAAACGTATCATCCGTCTGCATATCTCCTATTTATGAGACAGTCGGATTGCAAATAAATAATTTACAAATTAAACAACTCCTTCCTCATCGATTTCTAAATATTTTAGTTCTCTTTTCCGACAAAACCACGACGACCCCTCAAATTGTATTTTGTATGTGTTCAATGAACTGATTAGATTTCTTTCCCTTGCTGCTGCGGCATTTCCCTTGCTGCTGCGGCATTTCTTTGTGTCTCATAAATGCAAGTATTTGCTGGAGAATTTCATGCCATTTTCGCATGCACGTCTGTGTCTGCTCTGATATTTGTTATGAGCTTGGCCTGATTGACTCGAGGTTGTTTGTAAATAGACGGGGAATATTATGGCATAATATGTGCCGCTTGGTCGTAAAAGGGTGGACGATAAATAAGTACATCTGGATAAGGCGAATGAGTGATGGATAGTTTCCCCAAGAACAGTCAAACTTTCTCTATCGTGTCAAATCATCCTCCATAGTTTGCCTGATAATAGGCAATTTTCATATACATAGATTCATAAACCAGGAAATTGCTTACATTCAATCAGCACATAGTACTTTGTGTATCCGAAAAGTTCACCCATTTGCCAGTGTACACAGCATTTTCATGAAATTGTGTCTCTCTTTGTTATTTGGTATCTGTTGTGCCGTGGGAAAATTGTGTAGCAACCATCGATTAATGAAATCCGGGTATTTAGATTAACCTCAAGACATCAGAGAAAAGCGGGGTGCCGGGCAGGAAACGGCTCCAGTCATCGTCCACTGTCGACGCAATGACTAAAAAGTCAGCTCTGTAAGCCGAAAGTATGAGTCAGTCATATTTTTGTGTCATTTCGGACTCTTGTAATAATGAGTTGCTTATTTCTGCTCTTTTGCATCAGCATTAAATTTAACTGTCTAAAGTGGTGCAGTTTAAGTGATCTCCTCCCAGATGAGAGCTTCTTAAGGTTCAAGTGCTCATTATTCATTCGTGTAGCATTGTATGCAAAGTAGGAACAATAACTGCTGCTCTTAGTAGTGAACAAATTGTTACAAGATTAAGATTACGGTAAACTCTGTAATAACCCTGCATTTGCATTCATTCTACGGTGTCTCTGGTTGTGTGTGTGTGCGTGTGTGTGTTATCATTCCTGTTGATTATTGGAGGTTAGGATTAAAAAGACGGCACAGACCAGACACCGCGGCCGGAGGGATATTGTTCCACTCTCCTCTGACTGACTGCATTGCATTACTCTTTGAATTTGTGTTCAATATTGCGCAATCACACACAAAGAAATTATTGAATGTAGACAGGTCACGTTAGTGCCATAAGATGGAAAATCAGCGTGGTTCCTCTCCCCCATAATAAATTAGGTTTAGTCATGTTCACTGGTGGACGACACCTAGGCAGCAGCAGCAACAGAAGAAGTCACTCTGTCTCAGATTTTGTGTCAAGTTCATCATTTATCTCGCTCTGTGTGGAACTGATCTGATCCTCTGCTCACTCCTGTGGACGGATTAAAAAGCAGAAGAAGGAAAAAGTATGAAAATGAAGGGGAGGAGGCGGATTAGTTAGCGAATTAGATTATTTATATTAAGAGATGAATCATCAGCAGGCAGGTCAGGAAGAGATGAAACTTTCCGTCGGACCAACCCGTGTCTTTTCTGATTCAAAGAGATGATTATTACAGCGACCAACGACGCAAACAAGTTTCTCACATGTAACACAATGTCATTCATCAATCACAGTTATTACCGTAGATATTGCACTTTATGTAATAAGACCAAATTTTTGTACATGGGAGGAAGACGAGAGAGAGAAGAATGAGACATGCAATTTTTCTCCCACTTGTTTTTCCGTTGTTTGCCTTTGGGATTAAAAAGCAGACGCGGCTTGCTTGTTAGCCTAGGTCTGCCGAGTCGGTGGCGTGATTGATTTGTATGAATTTTAATAATCCTGGATTGCCTTTGACTAATTCACTCTTCTCGCTTGTTTATGATGATGACTTTCAAGTCGAGACAAAAGGCCACATCACGCATTTGCCAAAATTGTAGGAAATTAAGGAATGCAAACCTGACAAAGAATGTGTGTTCTGCTCAGCCAGGTCATTAGCTAGAGTAAGTAAAAGCTGTTAGTCGTTCATAAGTAATTTTCAGACTTTTGCAATTACAAATTTGCACAGTTCTATGACACGGTGATGGTTTGTCAGTCAGTGACGGGTCAGTTTCGTTTCAAAACTGCTTTTCTATTTTTTAAATTATTATTATTTACCCGATTCTCATTTAAAAGTCATGTTTCATCTAAAAGTTAAATGCCAGCAGCAGCTGGGATATTTATACAAATTAAAATTGTTGCATTTCAAATTCCCGTTGCAAATAAAGAATTGATTCGTTTACTGAACCATTTAGTGCTACGTGCTGTTAACACGTTTGTATTGGTTACAAGGTATTCGTGCAATTAAGATGATATTACTCACCACCCTGCTCTGAACAGCGTATAAATATGTCCATGGATTAATTCCAATGCCATTACGACGCCAGGCACAAACATCTCATTGACGGTTACTTGTTTGTTGTGAGGCAGTATTTGGCTCTGTGTTAAATAGGGGAGATCAAACTTACTTAATGCAGAGCAGCAATAAGCAACATATTATTATTACAAATAAAGCTCAAAATAATGATGCAGATTAAACACAGTGGTATGAATAAGGTGTGTAGTAGTATAAATAAATGGTGTGATGACTGTCTCCTCATCCTCGCTGATATCACCAAACCACATGCTTATCTACCCATTGATAAGTGTCATTTAATCGGTGTTATACTCAAAAGAAATGGAATCTCCTCCAGTGTTGATCGTCGTGCGACGCATATAAACTTATTTTTACCAAGTTTTCTCGTGATCATTTTTTGAAAGAAAATATTGCAAAGAGAGAAAAACAGAGCTCGTGCGTGGTGTTTTTAATTAGTATACATATTGCACACATACTTTGGAAAATGGAGACGCAACAAGTTCATAGGAAACGACTGTCCGAGAGTAAAAGAACTGTTTAAAAGGACTTGGACCTATTCATGAGCAAAGGGCGATGTAATTTTGGGAAGGGATTTCACCAAAGAGAATTTGTGCATTTTCCTCGCAAATTAGATTTTCTACTGGGTGGATGCAATGCGACGGAGCAAATCACTGGTTTATGTTGATACAAAGTAAGTCGTTGTCGAATCATGTGATTAATTGTGACGCATAATATGCAGTGATTCAGTAGAAGGTTTATGATTGAGATGACATATGTGTGGTATGAACTCTAGCAAGTGGCCACTGTAACCTCCCAGTCGTAGATATCACCATGTCAAATTCGGTGTATCGCCGACGATCGAAGGGTATTTGATCGTGTCTGATCCAATGGTGTTCTCAGAGTAGGCGCCACATCAGTGATCTTCGTGACACGACAAATCATTTGCATTTTTTAATTAAATAAGACTTCTCGTACATTTTTAATATGTGCACAGTTTGCACTCGACTGTTTACCTTTAAAGTCTGGCTTTGTTCTGTCCATGATTTTTTAATTGAATTTGAGGACAATCACCTTTTCGTAGAAAGAGTAGTGGAAAACAGGAGTTGTTGTTGATCGAGTTATCTATGAGCTGGGCCACTACTGAATTTCGGTATTGTTTAAAAAAATTAATACTTTTGCTACCCCATCTTCGCGTAGGGTAAATTTCAATTTAGTAATATTTCTGTAAGAAAAAGATGATCCAACATGGTATTCGAGGTCGTAAATAATTTCAACTGTCTCGAGTTGGTAACGCAGTAGTAAATGTGTCATAAATCGCTCAACGCCAAAAATTATTGTTGCTTTTTCCAATTTGTACATATCCTCTGCTCACCCGTCGTCAATGAGCACAATTTAGTAGAAAATCTCTCATCAGATTAGACTCGTTTCAGCCCATGGTTTCATGAATATGCAATGCACACATCTGCAAATGAGTTGAAATAATGTTGCAAATTTTTTACCTTCCCGCATAAGCGGTTCCATAAAGCTTGTTACCTTATTTCCACTATTATTCCGCTTCTGACATTCTACATGTTTAGATGATTCCGACGGAATAAATATTACCCTTTGTAATAGAACCACTTCCAATTTGAAGAAGATACCACATGCAGTTCAGAAATATGTTATCATTCGTATAACTAACTGCATTTGCATTATTTAATCGCTAACCATTTCGGTCGCTCATTTAAATGCATTTGAGTTGAGTGAGTATTATTCAATCCCAAAACTGGTCTGTAGAAGTAATTAATTAGTGCATGAATTTCTGCACCAGTACCATCTCATAATTCCCATTGGTGAATCGCTTCATGTTTTTCATCCTCTTCGCTAACCCTTTGTCACGAACTCTGCAGTATTTATCAAGTACATTATTATTATTATTACACAACGTAAACTGTGTGATTCTCAGCGAACCAACCAACTAATTTGTTCTTTTATAAATTTCTTTACAGATGTAACGGCCATGCCCCACTCCCTGCGGATTCTGCTTACTTTACCACGTCCGAATGTAAAGCAAAATTTTTGACGCAGTACGTCAACGACATGAATAGCAAAAGTTCGCCCTGCAAGGGTCAGGATAGTCAAGAGCTAAACCAACAAAAGGTGATTATATTTATTATACTTGCTCTATTTTGTTTTTTAGGGACTACAATAATTTCATAATTTTCATGACTATGACAAAACATTTAGTTTTGTATCTTAAATATTTCCAGGAGATGCTGGTGTCAAGGATTAGCAGGAAATTGGAAATTTTAAGAACAGAGCAGTTGGAAATTCGAGAGGAAATCGAATCAAACGAAGACTTGGGTCATCAAGTTGTTGAACGCGTTAAAGGATCTGCAAAACGGAATGAATTTGATAAATTCAAGCTTCACGTTGAGGAAATTGAAAAGATTACGAGCCTTCTCCTAGGATTATCAGGAAGATTGGCGAGAGCGGAAAATGCTCTGATGAGTCTGACTGAAAATAATTCTAATCCTCAAGAAAAGGTGAGTAAATCGATTGCATTATTTATTGCAAAAAAACGCGACTCCTTATTATTATAAACGTACATATGTGCCTACAAACACGGCGATCTCCATTATTTGCTACTATTTTTTGTAGCTGAAATAGTTCAAATTCAGTAGTCACAACAAGAAGTTTGAGTGGTCAGATCGTGATTTAGCTGCTCAACTTCTTATTTGCCGAATACTTATGATGATGATGATGTTCAATGCCGTCTATAATATAAAGTTATTGTTGTAAATTTCAATTTTACTCTTGCAATTACATAACGTAACGTGATTCCTTTATCTTTCTGAATGGTCGTGTTATTACAATTGTTGTACATCGCACTCACTTGGAAAAGATCGTGACTTGTAAAAATATTCCTGACCTAATTATCTTCACCTCTAAGTGATTTTTTTTTTACTAAATCTTCTCTCATTTTATATATCTAGAAAATCCTGGAAAGTAAACGGGACAAGTTGCGAGAACAATTAGAAGAAGCTAAAGGGCTAAAGGAGAACATCGACCGGCGCTCCGCCCAAGTGTCAATTATCCTACAAAAGTACCTTACTGCCGAAGACTATGCGGATTATCACCACTTTGTCAAAATGAAGGCAAAGCTTATAATCGACGCCAGAGAAATCGACGACAAAATTAAACTCGGAGAAGAACAAATGGTCGCCCTGAAAGATACGCTGTCCTCTTACCCAGCATCATCCTGAAAATAACAGAAGGAAGACTTCTATAATAATAATCAATATTTCCCTGCTCATAAACCCAGCATATTTTATTTAAGAAACAGTGAGCCTAGTTATGTCAAAGTGCAGTAACAGCACATCAAAATTATTGTGTTAATTTATGGGAAAGTCCTGGTGAAAATTGAGTTGAGAGAGTTTCGCAACTTTCGATAGGAGAAATTTTAGTAGAAGAATTGGTGTTTTTTAAATGATTTTTAAAACTATGGAGGGGTCTTTCTTTAATTGATTAATTACTCGATTAATTAATTAAATGCCATACGTGCACGTAGTAGAAATATTTTATAGCTGTACTGCAAAAACCCTACTACAAATGTACTATAGCCACCAATGCTATCAACGGTTTGGTACTCATCAATATTTGTAGGATTTTATTGAGGTGCTATATACAAACTAAATTAATTTCGGTGAAACCTATTTAAATATTTTGTAACAACAGCATATTAAGTATTATCTTCAAATTATGTAAATTAATGGTAAGATTTCAAAGTATATTCATAGTAATTAAATGATTGGTATGCATCCATCCACCACGCTTCTATCCATATCTACCTACGCCCCCATATTTCAATATTGTGATACAGCTTTAAATTATTTTACAACACACACAAACACGAGGAAATAAATTAGCAGACAATGTTATAGAATTTTTTGAAATCTCACCAAAAAGATATAATATCTCATCACCTGTCGTAGTAAGACGAAAATTTTAAAGTTTCTAATCAACGAACTGATTGTTTTGTAGAAGAAGAAGAAAAGAAGGGAGAAGTTGAATAATAATTGATGACTGACTGGACTGATGTACATTTAACTCTGTAATAAATTTCATGTAAATATGTCATTACTTTCCAGAGCAGGATGATTTAATGATTCTACTACTACGACACAAGTTTTTGAGTCCGTTTATGTTTATGAATGATGATAGGTTCCATTATAGTGGAGTTACTCTAGAATTTATTATTATTGACAACTTATTATAAAATTAGTATAATTATGCTTATTATTATCACCATTTATATATCTTAGTGATTTAATTATTGTACTATTAAATGAACTGCGTAAAATAGATAATCGTCGCTGCTGATGTTGCTATTAATTATAGGTATGTACTACTATATGAGTTTAAATCCTGTGTTGCAAATTGTGTGCCTAGTACTAAGCAACGGAGATAGCCTTATTATTAAACGACAGGAAAAGAATGGACGTCGGCCGAGTATAAAGACATGAATGAATTTCGACATCGATGATTTAATGAAATAATAAAGAAATGCGATATATAAAAACTAGTTTATTTCTTATTAATTGTGTCATTTGACTGCATTACTTAATTGCGGAATCATGCTACTAGTTATTTTGGGAAAAGCTAATAATTTAACGACATGAAATTTAGGACCAAATTCTACACGATGCACTTCAGACACCTCCAAGTTTACCTAGCAAGCCCAAAACGGCACTGATCGGGGATCCAACATCTTGGTGGGCCGAACTGGTAGTGGCGTCACGACAATCGGCGTTTCGGAGGCAGCCAGGAACGCATTTTGCAAGACGCATAGGAAATGGGGCCGGAAGAAGGACCACGGTTACGTCCAACTTAGCAAGAAGATTATTCAAAGAAAGGAGAAGTTCCGTGATGAGGGAAGCCGTTGGACTGTGCAATTAAAACGTATGTACTGATTTGACCCTTTACTTCGTTGTAAGCCAGGAGTTTTAGCTATATCTTTAGAAAATATTGAAGTCACTCACAGGGGTAACAGCCCGTTCAGTAGGTTTCGTTCCGAGCGAACCAATTCCGTCCCTACATCATCCTCTCCAGCTGGAAGGACATCCTGTTGACGTGGGTGGCTGGCACGATTACGTCGAATGACGATAGGCCCAAACAGGTCAGAGTCCAATGTGGGGTCCTGTTCCATCACAAATTTTACTACGAGTGCAGGAAACTGTTTCAGGGGGAGTGTGGTAGAAAGTTTGTGGGCTTACGATTGTTGCAGGGCCGTTGGGATGGGTCATCACAGTCGTTGCAGCCGCGACAAAATATGCAGCAACAATAACGATGACGAGCGAAGATGAGCACTTGTCCATGATGTTGAGAAGGATAGGTGTGCAAAATGAGAAATCAGGATCTGAGAATGACCAAGTTGAGACTTTCCAGAGTGGATGACAACTCCTCGAGCAAAAGTGGACAATGGCCAAAATCTATCGGTCGTCTCATATACTTAAAGTCAAAAGCAATGAGATTATTTTTTACTAACAATATTGTTTTGGAATTTGAAGTGAGAAATGTACACGATGCATAATTCTTGGCCTGCATCATTCCTTTACGTAATCAGCACATCCTTATTATTGTAAATCTATCGCAGTCAAATGCCCAAGTTTATAAATAAGCAGACGACATGCATATATATGCATTAGATGAAAGCCTCCAAAATTGGAGTATCATCATCCGGTCTGATGTAGCATCGAGATATGCTGACATTGATTTTTAGTCGAAATTTATGAACGGAAGGTAACGATAAGAAGAGGAGTTCGATTGGGGAGTGAAAAAGCAACGGCTTGCATGTGTGTATTATGTGAGGAGGATTCCAACGGCTTGCATATATGTGCATTTATGTACTTATTTATTTACCTATGCATTTATGTGTGATTTTTGATTCTCATGCAGACATGATATTAATGTAACGTTGTTTCTAATCAAGAGAGGTTTATTTTGATGCATAATCGAATTGGGAATCGTGTCGTATTTAATAAATTTAATGCAACGAAGGAATAAACAAACAATAACGACCCTAAAAACTTCTAAAATTTCAGATAAAATGTCATATTTCAGTCATGTGCAATAAATTAGTGAATTTGACTATTGTCGAATCGACGACGGGGTTTTTGTGGACCGTATACCCGCATGGGGAGTTTGACCGCTCTCTTGTACTGCGCTGCAGCCGGTGAGTGGGGGGCAGGGGACGGTTTGTAAGGTGCTGAAGCTGGGGAAGAGCCATAGTCCGCGTGCGATGGGGCAATAACGGCAACTTCCTTCTCAACCTGCTTCTGCTTGGATGGGGAAATGTCCTTTGGGGTCGAATAGCTTGAAGCGGAAGAGGTTTTAGGATAATTTCCTGCTCCTGAAGTGGATTGACTCTGCTTATCGTCATAGTTCGCAGGGCTTTGTGAGTACCCTGAGGAAGGGTAGCTTTGGGCAGCCGGGTATCCGTAAAATGGTGGAAATACAGCAGACGGTGATGGTCCATATCCATAAGGTTGGAATTGTGGGTAGAGCGGGTAGCCGTACTGGGGGTAAAATACGGGGTACTGGAACGGATTATAACCACCAAATTGGGACGACGCGGCGGGGCTGTATTGTGATTGCTGAGCTTCAGAATATCCCTTGGACGCTGAGTACGAATTGGAGGATGAACTGGGTTTCTCCTGGAGGAAAGTTGGTTTTACATTTAGCTTCTGGTACAAAAAGGCGACCTTTTAATAGCGCTCTAAATTTCTTACCTCCTCATAATCCGTGCCACCCAGGCTTTCGGCATCTTCCAAGCATTGGATATAGTTCACGGAGGATGGGTCACACTCTTGCGCAGCAGCGAGACAGGCCCGGCTTTCTTTGCAGTAGGCGAAGCATCCGGCCAACTCGAGGAGCAGATTGGAGTCCATGAGGAACATTGTGCGAGCCAGCCCCAGGGTGGCCAAGAGATTGTTCACTTGGATAATCGTGAGCGTCACCTGTTTCGGTATCCCCTTTCTTCAAGAGCACGAGAATACGAGAAACGTGTGGGAATTAGAATATGACAAATTACGGTCGTTCAATATTTTCTTATGTGACAACTTACAGTCCTGTGATTCCGAGTAGCGCTTTCTCGTCCGCATTTCTGGGGATGAGCACTGCCAAAGGTCCTCCAGCTTTGCGTGGAATCCTTCTCCCAAGAATTAAGGAAGGGATTTTACTGCTCTGATTTCCATAAATTTGAGGAATTGTGTCATGAACACGGGTTGCATTCATCACTTGAGCACCGGTTTCTGGGTCAATCTGCAAATATTCACCAATTTTAATCATGATCAGCTTCAACTCTGCAAATCTATCTGTTTCAAATTATATGCTTTATGAATTAAGACCCGAAAATGTACAACTTACAGCGAGCAAGTGGTCAATCAGTCGATCCACGTTGAAACCTGTCTCGGAGAAGTGGTAGTCGCTGATGGGTGTTTCGCCTGGTCTCGTTGATGCCGTGCTGTTGGATGCAGTTGTGCATCCAATCAGCAAAAGTAGAAAGAACGCAAACATTGCTCAAACTTTTTTGAAAACCACGATTTTCGTTGCACAAATTGAAAGGACTAATGCGTGGGTCACACCTTCTCAGATGTCAACTCACAGTGAAATGATGAAGACGATTACAATTTCAGGTCAAAGCATAAAAACTGAGAATGTTGACATTTTGCAACTGTGGTTCAACATTTAGAGAATTTGTATTCATGTCATTATTCACGTCATGTAAAATGCGTAGATTCGCTTCTCTCAGCAAATTCTCTAATTTGTGGGTCATAAATATAAAGACAAATAATTTTGTTTAAACTGATGACCAAGACATGTTATGTCTCCTTGTCACTTTTAGTGGTATGCAATTGATCTAAATCGGATTATTCAGTTTGTTTCTCTGTATGCTCTAATCATTTTATTAATTAAATAATTAAATTCTTGTATGATAATCTTGACCAGAATGAGAGTACATAGCTGCAGAAGAATAAAAACATAATCGTGGTAAACAAATATATGTATTTCTCTCATATCGTCATTTCTTTGTTCAAACTCACTACTCCATTTTTGCAGGACTCTATTTCAGGCACAAGTACTGTAGAATAGCATATAAATCAATTTAGCTTATTATTTTTCACAAAATCCAACACTCAGTTTATCAGACGTTTATCAGGCCAACTTAGGCTCATTCCATTTGTAAGCAACACGTTTGATCGAGTACTAGGAAATAGAGGTGCTAAACGCGTGGGGTTTTAAACTTTTTTGTTTCCTCAGGCCCAAAGGCATCGATTCGCTTATCTCTCTATGAGCGATTCTTGGCTTCTCGATAATCGAGTTTTTCAATACATTTTACATTTCTGATTTTTTTGTATTTTTGAATTTTTGAAAATTTTTCCTATCAACGAATGATCAATGAATGAAATCTGCAAATGTAACCTACCCCTTTGAACCAACACTTTGGCGGCGAAAGCATTTTCAATGCATTTGCAAATTTTCTTTGAACTGCTATATCTTTGCGAAAAAAATTAATTTTCAAATTTTGATTTTTATGATATGTTGTATTTTATATTATGCATCTATGATAAGATTGTGGACAAGATATCAAATATGGGTGCGACGACGATCGTGTGGGTTCAGATGGAATGAGCCCTTAATATGTGATCATAATCTACCAGGTCAGGAAAACTAGGTAATTTGTAACTTACCCAGCGTAATAAAATATCTAATAGTATGATAAATCTACCTATAATAGCAATAAAAATGTACAACCTCACAAAAAAGTACTCATGTATACGTTGTAGTGACGCCTGACGGTACATTTACGTAAAAAACACTGCTTATTTGAAACAAAAAACTGCTGAGTTATTTAAATATGCAAATACTTTCTCCTCCGATGACTAATTGTACGTAGTGACTGATTATTTGGCATTACGTAAATAAAGAAGTGAAGAACATTATCTTTCCAAACTTTTCAACTTCCGTTTGCAATGCACACATGTATTTCCCCTGTATATTTAATACAAAGTATGTATGCATTGAATTCGACATCTTTTTTTCTTACCGAAGTTCAAATAATGTTCAAAATGCCACATAATTGTTTAAAAGGATATACACACGCAACAGTGACAACCTTTCAATAATTTTCAGTGTATGTTCTGCTTTTTGCTTTCCATTATGGAATGCAATTCATGAAATTGGGGTTTGCAGTTTACTCTTAACCGACAACGTGGTAACTTTCTCAACGTTGATTTGCAAACTGTTTAAGCGTAATTAATAAATTTCTCAGTTTTATTGTATACAGCAAGAAACTTTATTACTTCTCTAGCCCAAACATTTTAAAAATAATTATTAGTATTAGTAAATCGATCAAACGTGTAAAATATTTGTCGCATTTGTGATAAAAGGGGAAATATTTTTACCGGTGTGTGTGATTTAGGAAGCTATTTGTTAACGACACGTCAGGTAGTATTTTGTATGAGCACAACCAAACGAACTAATTATCATCACAACTTAATTTTCTTGTCTCGGCCTCGCTTGTTGCGACCTCCTTGAGTATCTTGTGAGGATGAATATCTCGTATCGGGAAGTTCGTCGTCGTCACCACCACCACCGCTGCTATCATTCCTATTGCTACTATTGTGTACTCTCGACGATTCGAATTGCTTAGCGAACAAGGCCGCAATACCGGGTGACTTGCCAGCAGTCACATTTTGTAGCTGGGTTTGACTTATTCCGCTTTTTCGACCTTGTGACACGGGAGGGTTGAAAGACCTATTCGACTTGTTACTATTTCCAGCTTTTGTGCCTCTTTTGGGGATGAAATCGGTGGAGTCGGTGCTGCTCTCGTCGACCGAGTAGGAGGACGGCTCGATGTGGAGACGACCATCCGGGTAGCGAGGAGCGTTGTTAGGCAGTAAATATGAAGACGAAGCATTTTCGTCGCCTCCACCAATCCCTACGTTCATCAGGGAAAGTGTGAACGTTCCGTAGGGCGAAGGGGGCGCGAAAGTAGACTCCGTGGGGATCGGTCGGGCCAACATTTCATCGCGAAAACATTCCATATTGTTCTTCAAGGGGAAGAAAGTTGTAAAATTTTGGACCTACGAAATAAATAAAAGTCGTTAATTAGAATTAAATTAGATTAATGCTCGTGTAAGAAAAGTATGGATTAGAATTATGGGTGGAAACTTAATATGAAAAAAAAATGTGTGTTGGTACTTTTAATTAAAATATTGTCATCGTCATCATCTAAAACTTATCAGAAAGAAAGTCACACAGAATAAGAATTCTGTCTGATCAAACAGAATATTATTGGACGAATCTCTGATTCGTGTTTTTCTATTTAATGTTGGCGAATCATCCTTTTGCATAATAGCGAATTTTTCGGCATGACAATATCCAGACAAATAAATCTAAATTCTGTACTAAACAGTTTACATATTCTCAAACTTTTAAAAATTACCCAATAATATTATAATAATATTACCCAGTAATAAATAGACAAATTTAGCATTTTTTTAAATTATCAGGTCAATACTTTGAATACACACAGAGTCGTTTTATAAAAATAAACGTGTACGTACGGAGGACCGAATCCACCGAGAAAGAGACTGAATGTAGCGTGGGTTTTTTATGTAACGATCATCAACGAGAAGAATTGCGCCCCAGTCTTGACGATGGCGAATGCAGCGACCGAGAGCTTGATTCAGAGCTCTTGAGTAAAATTATAATTAAAAATTATTCAGTAATCTTTCTCCATTGACGAAAAAACTTCTAATCCACATTAAATTGTAGGCACTCACCTGAAAGCTTGAATGTCATACCACTCTCCACCTGGCAACAAACCTCGGCTTACATTCGCCTGATTATAGTCCCGCTTTAACTTGACCTGCATGTCGTGAAAATTTGGGAAAGGAATTCCAATCTACAAAATTAACAAGATCCACATTCAATTGCAGAAATCAAAGGGCAAATAAAACAAGGCATGGGTAACTACTCACACATATTACAGCACGGGCATTGTTATCCGAAAAGTCCAGGCCTTCGCTAACTTTTCCTCGACACACGGCCAAAAACAGGGCCCCTGTCACGCCACCGTCATCCTAAGATAAATTAAAAACCAATCAGTGATAAGTTGTGACAAAATTGGCCAGAATAAGAAATAATTTTAGATCCTTTGAAATTGTGAAGACAAGTAAAATTCGGTTTTTAAGAAACGCCAAAATTATCACGAAATTGAGAAATGACATTTTAAAATTACTCCATCATTCGAGCATATTTTTATGGTTAGAATATGCATATCAACGTATAATGCATCAATGATGCACCATTTTTTAGAAAATGTTGAAACTATTCTATGTACAGATTCTGCAGCTACGTTTTAGCTCTATGGTGGAGAATTAAAAAAGTGCATTATACAAAATATCCAACCTCTTCAGATTCAGATCTTTTAATAGACGCGTAAAACTCGTTCATGGCAACTTCAAAATCGCCCGGACCAGACCTTGGCTCGATGACGATCAACTTCTTCTCTTCCAACTGTCGATACCTCATCGTCAATCTCCATCTGGCCAAAATATCTCAATTATTTATATTCCCACCGTTTTTACAATGAATGCAGGAAATCTAACCTATCAACCATTTTACCCATCATTTGGTACGACGGGAAGAAGCAAAGCACGCCATGTGGCATTGTGTCACACACGTATTGAACAACATTGCCAACCTCATCCTGATAACATAAGCTCTGTGCGCTTTGATAACTCCCATTCAAATTTACACCGGACGGACCAGTACCAACGACTCCGGCCCAGACCTAAAAATTCATCCAGCCAGGAATGAAAATTAAAGCCAGGAACAGGACAAATTTAGTCATAAATATGGTCATACCTGATTTTTATCAATCACATGGGACGCTTCCAACTTGAAGGGAAATGGCGTGCCCAGCTCAGACTCGAATGAATGCATAGGTGACAAGGTGCCAGACGTGAGGACGATGCTGTGAACGACATCGCGAATTTCCTACAAAAAATTCCATATTTGATATTTTTTCTACAAATTTCCCCCACTTTTTCTCACCCCAAAAGCCAGCGCTGGGTTTAAGCACCACACGTTAAGGGATAGGGTCACGAAGGTCATAAAAGGCCCACTCTGCCCGTCGCGTCGCCTTTTTTCCATCGACTTGATCAGTGCGATTCGAAAGTCGTCGCGATTACAGCCATTGTTTTTGTACATGTCTTCAAAGAGGCGGAAGACGTTTTCAATTATGGAAATTGAAATGACTGAAATGCTCGGTTTTTCAAGTCTGGCTCGAACTCCGCGTTCCTTGGCGGTTTCGAGGTCTCGCTCGCGCTGATCTAACACTGCTGTGAAGCACGCCTGTTAAAAATATGTATGAAAGTCGTCAATTTTTGCATGATTCCTAAGTTCGTATAAATTTCAATACACTAACTTTAGTAGATTTCACGCTACGCTCGTCCAGTCCAGAGAATTGCAGAGCAGCAATAATTTCAGTCCCATTCCAATACTTTCCTGACGTATTGTACGAAATGTCTTGCAGATTTTTGCTCTGATCGTCAATCCAAGTGCAAAAAGTAGAGAGCATGGAAGCCTGGGCAAAATTAAAACATTGTAACAACATTATAAACCAAATTTTAAAAACTGCTTATCATGAAACTACAGTGGCACTAATTTCACTTAAATACACATGGAATCAATTTTCTAATTAATCAGCATTAATTACGAGACAAAATATAAGACTCTTTACATTGCTTTCACAAAATTAAAAGACAGATGAAATCATGAGTAAAATTTGTAGCCAAAATTTTCACTACACATTTGTGAAAACTTTGTAAATTAGGCAAACATATAAAACCTACTTCCAGTTTATATACATATTTACAAAATTTAATTTCCCACTAATTTGCATGACTAAAAAACATCTCCATTTCCCGTCTCCATACAATTAGCCTGGCACAAAAGAGCTTATTATTAACAACGTGACATTGACAGGCCTAGAAAATGCTGAAAGCTTCACAATAAATATAATAATCCCCTCTCCCCTCCTTCTCATAGGAAATTCATCCCTTAATAAATATGGCGATCGGTGCATACTCCAAAAAGAAATCCTATTCATCATCCCTCAACTCACACACTCCTTCATTTCATTTCAATTCTTCTCACTGGGGATGGAAGTGAGTGCATCGCGTCCTCCTTTCACCCAATCCAAAATGAGAGTGGAAATAGAAATAAATCCGGATCCATACTCATCAAATGCCCTCCTGGGATTCTCATCCTGCCATGACACAGACCAGAATGACTCATCGTCATCAAGGGGCCGTACGGAGAGTTGCTAAACTTTTAACCCCTTCAGGTTAGCTCATCTATCGACGCAGCACATCCATTCTGCACGAAGCATCAGGAGGAGGACCGAGATTGAAATATTTCTCTTTTTTTATCCCATTTGGACCCTTATCTCACTTACAATTTCAGCCAGCGCGTGAGGCTCGGCTCCCCCGATGGACTTGACTTTCTCACAATCCTGCATCGCCTTGGTCATCTCGTGATGTTTGAGAATAAAACTGCCCGCTTCTCGTGACGCATCCTCCATGTTGTGAGCCTCGTCGAAAATAACGACTTGGTTTTCAAAGTTGATATTCATCTGGAAATGGAAATTTATAATCTTTTCAAAATAGTAAAAAATGTATCCAGTCAAAAAATTTATACTCACACTGTTCCTAATACTGGGATCAATGAGGTAGTTGTATGGGCAGAAAATTATGTCGGCGTTCGCCATTAGAAACCGAGTCGCGTAGTAGGGACACGCTTTGGCCTGTAAGAATTAAAATGTTAAAATGAGACCATTATTTGGTCGGAAATATTTATTTCTCTGTAAGAAATTGGACATACGACTCGTCCCGCTTTTACGAAATCTTCCAAATCGTAGCCGGGATAAACGCCGTAATTTTCGAGATAGTTGAAATTCCCAAATTTTCTCGCTCCATTGTGATAACTGCAACCATCCCCCTGCAGAAGAAGTAGCGGTTAGGTAAGAAATATGCAAGTTTTCAATAACAGCATCACAGAAACAATTCCATTTTACTCCAATCTTTGAGTAAAACTTTGAAAAGTTGGAAAAACGTGAGTGAGAGAGAACAGAAAAGCTTTCCGAAATCCGTTTTCACCATGTAAAACCGGTTTCTCGGGTTTATTACATGTATACCAACGGATTCCGGGTTTGACATCTTTTAAGTACGCACTTATATTTGTTATCTTGTCCCAAAGTTTACAATCTTGGCGATCATGAATTTAATAAAATTTCACTTACAGAAAGGGCCGAATTGTCCAACATTTCTCGACATTGCTCATTCTTATTCGGAACACCGTTCAACATCGGGTTGATACAGGTGTGTTCTCGACTCGCGAGTATTGCAGAGCTAAAAAAAATATACACAAAGGCAAAACTCAAAAAACTGAAGTTGAAAGAAAGCCATCACAATAGTAATTTTAGGGAAAAAATCAATCCCCGAAATGAAAATGACGCTCCCTCCCCGTCATCACCATGATACGAATCAGTTCTGCATGGCATGAAATCTCTCTCTTTCTCTGCATTAATCAAACTCTCTGGAAAGTCAGAAGACCAAAAAGGCCTATGGAAAGAGAGGGAAGGAGGGGAAGGGTACGATCAGGGGGAGGTTAGTTAGTTAGTTTCGGCGATTCGATTCCACTAGAAAATTTCGCTCCCCTCTCATGCACATCATAAAAATGGAGCACACAGTGTACGAGAGAGTGTAAGGTTTCAAGTGGTGGTGGTGGTGGTGTTTTGCTCTAGGGCGACGACGACACGATGGAATAAGAGCTCTCATCTCATCGTCTTCTCTGTCATGATATCGATCCCCGTCATCCAGGGTAACAAATTTCTCACGAAAAACACCACGATGATCCGAGGCGAGACTAGAATAGAACTTTTTTTCTCTCTCTTTCTCTGACCAAACGAAACCAAGCAAATGAAATGACCAGCCAGGAGACCATAGAATTCAAGTAAATGTCATCGTTTCGTCGCCATCCTCCTCCTGACCTCTCACATGATTACCTTGAGGCTCACAAAGTACTAGAATTGTCACCACCACCACGTTTCGTCCTCCTCTCTTTTATGTCAATCCCACAAGTTGAGAGTCTTGAGGAGAAGTCTTGCCAGGGCAGAAGTGCGGAAACCGAAACCCACCATTTTCAACGAATCTTCCTCTTTTCAAATGCAAAAATAGTTCAGACCTCCTTCACATCACATCACTTCACAATTTATTCTCCACTTTTTTGTTCCCACTCGGAATTCCCTTCAAGAAGCAGCAGCACCAAGTTATTCATCCTCATATCATCCTTAAACTTTTTTATACCCGTGCAGAAAGGATGTCAAGGAAGGCGACATCCTCAAAAAACGAGAACTTATCTTCATCCCTTCTGCACCGCCGTCAGCTGACTGTCTAACAACTCGCAAGATTTTCATTTTTTTCATTCCTCATACAGAATTATACTACATTTTTTCAGAATTGTTTGTACTCTCAATTTTTCTTTAGTATCTCAATTCTCACAAAAATCTCATCGTTAGCGAGAGAGAGTTGAGAGCCTTAAAATCAAATTAATCTCGTCAGAGTGGATAAAAAACTGTCACAGCACGATTTCCACTCTCCACGATGTCTCAAGTCTCTAATTATCCTAATTACGAGCTCGAACAGGGCTGGATTAGATTTAGTGAGAGGAGACTATTTTTAACTTATTTTTAGACCTAAACCTAAATTAATTATAGTCGAACGTAACGAAAATCAGTTCAAAGTTCAAGTATTACTTATCGCCACGGGAGATGGGATACTTTCACCAAAAAGCACACTAATTACCCATCTACGGAAAGAGTGGTATAATCAAATAATTCTAAACTGATTACAAGATTTTTTTTCCTACGAAGAAACTCACTCAAGTATTTATCCCCTTCATTACGGAAATCACATTACATCAATAAATGAGCTTATCTTTAATCAGTTTTACTTACTCGTCGAAATAATTCCCTTAAAAAAATATCATACGTTTTCAAACAAATGGTTTCAAAAGTATTTAGTTTTAAAAAGTTTTCAAATTTCTATAATACCGTTATACCAATCCCTACATATGTGAAATCAGCAATAAATGAGCTTTACTCAGGGTTTACTATAAGAAATAGTTCCCATCAAAAAACAAAATTTACACAAAAGACAAACGTAAAAACAATATGATAAGTTGTATTATTTTGAGAAATAATGGGTTAAAATTCCTAAAATGAAAAAATTCCATTAGTAAATATGTATTTTCCAAAATTTTTCAAGTTTCCCGATATCGTTATTAATCCTTACACAAATTCTCCACTTTACACATGCACGCACAAATATAAGTATTTTACCAAAATTTTCGAAATTTTGCAAATTTTCCCAATATCGTTATTAATCCCTACATGAATAATTCCCCACTTGACGTGCATACACATACATCCACTTAAAGTCTCAACAAGTTCAACAAAAACCCTTCCATGCAACGAAATGACCCAACTTCAAACAAAACCCTACGTCAAGCTGCACCCAAGCCTTGCATGCGTATCAATTCGCCTCGCCAGTCTTTTAAAGAAGACCAAATAATAAACAAAAAGCGAGTTTCGGGTTCGAATTCCACACACGGAAGGAAAAGAAGAAAAAAAATGAACCATTTTCGAAACTGGATAAAATAAAAACACAAAGTTCAAATATTGACCATTGTTTCGTATTTCTTGGCTGGAAACATTGGAGAGAGACAAATGTTTCCTCTTCTCAAAGGAAGATGAGCATCTTTTCATGAGCTGATGAAACTGATAGGTTTTCTCTGCAAACACACGAGAAGGATGAAAGAATATTAGCACAACAACTCACAGGCCGCAAACCTATCCAAACTAACAAAACCGCTTGAACAATCACAAATAATAAGAGAAAGGAGCAGTAGTAATAATAAGAAAAAACGGTATTAACAAAACTCAAAGATAGGAAAAGATATTATTATCCCCGTCTCATCCTAAAGAAACCTTGTTCAAACAGATTTACTTTGACGTGGAGTTTTTTTAGAGAGGACTTCGAAATGGCAAAAATTTTCGGAAGGTGTGTGTGTGTGGAAATTTAAATATTTTATCAGTGGTAAAATATCACAATGTTAATGTCCACATAGTTTTCAGGTCAAAATTCGGAGCATTCGTGTTAATTGGTATGTTATTTTGAGGTATTGATTAACCATCTTCAACGGGGGCTTGGTCAGACGGTAGAATTTATTGTGCCTCTATTTTAGTTAATCTCATAAAAACACGTGATCGGGTGGTAATTACAAAAATTAAAAACCACCACGTGTTAATAAATGGTCATGTAGCTCATTAGCCCTGCATCGTTATTTAGGTTAATTGGCTGGTAACTAGAAAACTTAAAAACTACGACGTGTCATACAGATCTACATACGTAACTCGTCAGCCCTAAACTGATCAAATTGTTGATTTTTAGTGAGAATACTTAAAAATGAAAATCTCTTCCTACCCCGGATAGATTTATTTTTACTAAACATGATAAAACGTATAGTCTATTTTTTATTCGTTCTTTTTCAAGTCCTGCTGTCCACTTGGTTGCAGAATAGTCCACAAATCGCAATATTATTACTACTTGAGGCAGATTCTTCCTCTTATTGCCGATTGTGTACACACACTACTTTGGCTTATTTACTTTTGCCCATCATTACCTCAAGACTTGGTTATTTGCTAGATACGTACATTTATTGAAAAGTAATCCCTGTAAATAGTGTCTCATTAAATGAGCACAACTCTCAACAAAATCTGGTCGGATTGGAAATTGAAAATGTTTCTTGATCTTCTCTCAAAAACAAATCTCTACAAAGTGGAGAAAATATAATATGCAGTTGAGCATATCCACAAAATCATGCAATAATGTCGGTACAATTTGAAATTTTGATATGCAGCAACCTACTAAACCTTCTCACAATTGATAAAGAGCTGTGAACAAAATATAGCAGTCAAATATTCTGATCATTATGTTGAAAATCAGGGTAAAATAATATATCGATCGTTTTGGTCCTTTTATTTAGGATAGAAGTAAAGGTAAATGAGCGTGATTTGCGTTGAAAAAGAGCATCACGGAATTAAGCCCGAGTATTATTTACTTAGTGAAAATAGATGACAATGTGACAATTTGGCGGAACTAACTAATTCTAATCCCCTTACCGGACACTTTTGTAGAACGTCTTTCTCAGTTCGCGAGTAATCTGGGCAATCTGCTTGTGGGTTCGTGTACAAAAGAAAATTTTGGGCACTCTGAAAAAAATAAATCCTTGTTAAATTATTTTAAAAAAAGAAGTTTTTTTGTCTAAATTTACGTCAATTTCTTCTCCGGGGGTACAAAGTAGGGCTTGTGTTCATCTAATTTAGGACTCTCTGGTGGTGGTGGTGGTTTGGTTGACACTTCCTCCGCCTTCGAGGAGGCGATGGGATTCTATTTATAACAAAAAAATTGTCCCCTCAAAATTTACACATTCCGTGTTCGGATCGAGACGAGATATATTTTCGAAAATTTTGAATTTCGTTTCAATCGGAACAGAGCGTTTTACACATTCATTTACATAAATAGATTTCGGACGCTTCGACGTCGGTTTGAAGTCGTCATCACTGTCATCCGTGAGTTCATAGATGGGTGGGGCACTTCCTCCTCCTCCTCCTGCCTGGGTTGGAAAATATGGCGACGATTCCTCCACTTTTACGTCCTCCACCTTTAGAGCATCTAGTTCAAAGATAATAATTTATGTACTTTAAGAAATTTCTAAATGCCCATTAACTTAATAAAATCATTGTGACATGGAAAATGTGTTGACAAGAAGCACACTGAACCATCAACCATACATCATAGTTTTCCACCCTATTGTCCATACTAGGACGACATATGTGTGTACTATAAGTGCTATAAACCCGATCCAAACTGCATGACGTGCGACCATTAGCGAAAGAGGGAGAGAGAAGTGGTTGTAATACCAAAAAGTGGATGAAATGCAGGGATAATGATTACTTTTTCGACCAGATACACACACACACACGCCACTACCACGACAAAAACAGAATGCATACATACGTACGACCAACTGGGAGACTAAAGTGAAATAAAATCACTCCACGAAACCGCTATGACACATTGTTTGACTAAAACCTAGGCTACAACACGTGCACCCAAGGACTATATACTTCGATTTGACATCTGAGAACGAACCGACGGTCTAATTGCTTTCATTGCAACCATGCCGATGGTGGACTTTCCTATCGGGTTCCTATCAGTCGTGGTGGTGGCAGATAACGAATACTCTACGTCTTCTGTCTGCCCGTCTCGTGGAGGAGAAAGTGAGTGATGCATGTATGTATGTACAAAGTTGTAGACGTGTCTCCCGCATATGCAATAAAATGAAATAAAAGTCGAAATAATGAACTACTGGAAATATGGCTGAGGTGGATGGAGTGACCCTTCTCACCTGGCTGGCTCGTACCCTCCTAATTGCCCCGCATTAAGGACAAATCCTTACATAAAGTAGAAAGTGGTGTTTGTCCGTCATAAAGTAATTATTGCTCTAATGCATACGTAATCCCCAACCCGTTGTAAAAATGTAACCTCTAATAAATCCAGATGCAAATTTGTCCCTTTTAACTCCCAATAAAAAGGGGGCAGGCAAAGCAGTAATAATAATTTACAAACTAGCGTCCTTTTCGCTTAATCAATAGCGTCAACTCCAATCTAGCCCTCACACCAGACGAGTTGGTTTAAGGGAACGAAATTCTGCCACAAATTGGGCGAAATATTGCGACCTTCCTGTTTCTCAAATGCTCAGACATGGGTGAAAACGGAGGAGGAGAGGAAATAATAGGAATATAATGCGAAGGTGAGCTGGAATTGATTCCTGTCTGGAAAAGGAGACTCGACGAGAGAGAGAAAGGGAATTATCCGGAGATTGATTTCTTCTCCACACAAAAGCAAAGCCAACAAGACATTGAAGACTGAGGTGCATACATCAGACCCGCGAGTTGCTTCCTTCTTCGTCTTCCTCCCTTTTTCTCAGACGGCTCAAAGAATGTAATTCCGTGGAAGAAGGGAGACGAGATGAAATAACCTCGGGAATTAAATCCAATCCACTAATTTCCTCCACATTCTACTACATACTCCTCCTGTACGAGAGAGAGAGAGTGAAAGTTAGTCAAAAACTGTCACGTTACGGGTCCTGCAAGCTGGATTTGCCCTGCAGAATAAAACCCATAGAAATTTTCTGCAGGATTAGTATTTTTTTAATTATGCAGAATACAATATGCATCGAGCTTTTGTCGAATACTGCATAATTCGACCAGAGTGGGGAAGTGGCACAGTCCTTTTAGTGGGAACATGGTGGGAAGATGATGGTCATGGGACCAGGATGAGAAAACGTGCTCAGTGTCTGCATTACTTTCACTCAGCCAAGTGCAAGGAGAGTACACATGCATCCTTTTCCCCACTATTTAACTACTCCTCCTCTCCTCCCGGACGGTGGTTTGGTTTGGTTTGCTTTTTAGTCGTCGCACTGACGGGTGACTGACTACGTAAAGATAATCACTACTCGCCGTTTTGACACAAATGAGCCTGCTGGCTATTCAAATCCTGCCAGAAAATGTCAGCCCGACCATGACGAGAGAAAGGGAGGGAAAATGCATTAAATCCAATTTCCAGACTGAATACGTAGTCCACGTAAAGAAGCAATCTCTGCACTTGACATCAAAGGATTCACTCTCCTCTTTTACCAGTTTATCCGGCCTGGATGGAAATAGCCTTTTCGAGATAAAACCACCACCACCGACGACCCCGATTGTGACATTTCAATCCTCTCACAAAACTTGACTCATTTCCTTCTCAAAATTTTGTGGACAAGTTAACTCCACAATTTTCAGGATGGGGGCACTACAAAAGAGATGCTGTCTATACCATCAAAATACATGGCGTCCTTTGCCACGTGATGCTTCACTGACATGGCACGAGTTGAAATTGTGTTATGAAAAGCAACTTGCACGACGTAAGCGGAAGGATAACTGCGTGGCACTATGTTCATACGGTTCCAACAACCGAAGGGTGTCCGAAACAGAAAATTGTGCAAAACTTGCATCCGTTCAAAGATTGCCGATGTGCGTGCGTATACATTTTTCTCACCTTTGCCACTTTCACCACCTCCTTGGTTCCGCTGTTGGGCTTGTCTCCTTTCCTGCGCCGCGAGAAGAGCGGCTTCCTCCTGGCGGGCCTCGATCTCCGCATTGATCGCTGCGACACGAGCTGAAACAAACAAGAAAAATCTTGTCAATCTCTAAGAAATTGGTCTAATTTACATACGTGTTCCTCACAATTTCTTCATGGCAATTAAAATCTCCACTTTAACCAAATTAACTAGCAGCATTTCATCACCAAAAACTAAATCAACTTGACCATCACAATTTCACTTTCTATCCCGAAATCTCACAATTAAGAACAATTCAAATCACAACTCACTCAAAATTACGATTAATTCTGATAACTCCTAGAAACTTGGATTACATTCTCCACCCGTCAAAATCGACTAACTAACTCGTTGGCAACTCTCCTCGGACCATAAATATCTCTCCGTCCTCTCCACAAACACATACCGGTACATCAATAAATATGTGCACATCCCGCATGGAAAATTATTTCTTTTTCCATACTAAAAAACAACACAACACATCATTACATGCATCACAACCAATTATCATCGATCTCTACAGGAGCAGAAAAACGGGAAAATAAGTATGAATGGAAATATATTTTTGTTCCCCAAACAATGAGCTCATCGTCGTCGTCATCATCATCATTATTAAATGCCCCACCGCTGCAGAGAGAGAGAGAGAAGGCTAATAATGAAAGTGAACAGGCCAGGCCGACGACGAGGACGACGACTCTGTTACAATAATGCCTACTGCTGATAAATATCTGTCCCTCGATGATGTTCAAGGGGTGCTGCAGCAACAGCCTATTGACAATAATGGAATGAATAGACTTCTTATTTTTTTCAAATAATCTGCTCTCCCAGGAATGAATAAAAAAGGGGGAGGTTTCCCCTCCTTCCAGCCAACTAAGCAGCCCAATTACCCTCCCGGCTGGTACAATGGGACCAAAATCCAGTGAGGGTCCAACCCCTTCCGTCTTTGTTTCGTCATATGTACAGCTTTTGGTCCGCATTGTAGCCTGAGATTGGATTGCAGGGTGAAATTTAGACGGAGGGGAAACGTTTCAAAATCCACATTATTTATTAAGCATGATTTTAATTAAGAATGTATCCAGAAGATAATAATTATTACGTTACGACAAATTGCACAATATCACTTGTGCAGCTCCAACTGTGGTCATCTCTAAAAATAAAGGGCCATTCAGTAAATGTGGGGATTAAACCAATCTCGGAATGAAAATCTGTAGGCAATTGGTACATTTTTCTGCCTAAGAAACGTTTCTAGAAGTGGGCAGAAAATTTCTATAAAATTCATTCCGAGCAAAAGTGTCTTATACAGTTTTGCACTCTGTGGAAAAGTTTGGGGGAAAAAATTGCCTATGCAAAATCTGATTCTGCAGAAAATGTGAATTTAGATGCGGGATGGTCAAATGTGTGAACTTAATGAATGCTCCCTAAAATTAAGCGCCTAGTGAAACACTCTTTTCTTCAATCATCATAGATAATACCAATTTGGGAAATGAACTCGACTCGGTGCACCCGTCAAGCTGAATCACGTCATGGACGTCGACGGCATCCTGATTTTTCTCAAGGCTTCCCTTGTCCCTTCTCATAATGATCTGAAGAGGACAAACAATTTGTGACGAGTTGAATTCATTTCATCATTTTCTCTCTACGTACACTCCACTCGACATCAAACGCCAAACTGGACGAGAAAAACTGGAAATCTCGTCTTTCTCTGCTGAGTAATATGCACATGCTCATCGCAGCATTTTACTTATATGCGTTACTTTACCACCACCACTCATGCCCACTTAGCCGTCTTCACAGTTAGTTAGTGTCAAAAGGCAGGGAGAATTTCGTGAGAGGAAAACCTAGTGAATAAATAAATAAATCCTTCATAATTTGGTAGAGCAAAATTACAGGGTATATATAGTACCCCAAAATTGTATTTCTATTACAACAAATTGTTGCCAAAGTCGCATACCGTACAATTTTGTTGATTTGTGGCAAATTTTACGGAAAATTCTATCGAATTATTAACCCCTATAGATCGTCCTGCTAGTAGCCTTTAATGTTTTTTTTCTATTAATAAATTGTCTGTCTACCCTCTAAAGTGCATCATTCTGCTAATAAACCGAGTTTAAATTAGGGGCACAACGCGACTCTGGTAGAATTTTAATAAAAATGCACAATTTTAAGGGTTACAGGTCACTCTCAAGTCGCATAGTACCTGGATCACTTTGTTCTACCAGCTTATTTACCCTCATCCTGCTAATAAAACGAGTTTTTACACGTTTTGAACTCTTTTTTTTACATCCAGCTCCTTTCCCCTGAATGCCGCACACTATTCATTTGTTTTCATTCATCCTCCTCTCAAACAAATCTGGTCTTCTTCCTCTCTCTCTCTCGGAGGAGGAGGAATGAATTGGACGGATAAATGCGACATGAAAAGGGCATCAGGTTAGGTTGCGTGGAGAGAAAAACAAAGAACAAAGCGTGGAGAGATAAATCAGCAAAGCAATCGAACAAGAAGACAGAGAGATGAGATTAAATCTGAAAGAAAACTGTCCTTTAATCCCGAAGAAGACTTGAACCAATGTTGCTGCAAAATGTCAATGATTAATTGTCCGTGCTGCTATACAAACGTAGAGGAGGAGGAGGACATGATCATGTTCGTCGTAATTTGTCAACCAAACCATGACCGGAATGAGAAATGCTTTGTACATTTTTGTCAACAACTCTACTTGTCAACGTTTCCCTTTGACGAGGAGTGAATACGAGTTGAATATGTAGGTAAATAATCATAATTCATTTTAGATACACAGGCAGAGTGCACATGTGAAACTGAAGGTGGGTTTTTGGTCAGTTAATCAACCTACCAACGTATTTATGCACATACCCAAGTCCGTAAGCACGTAGTATATGGATGCGTGTCTAAATTGATTGAATTGTTTTTCAGAAAAAAAACTTTGACGGAACTATTAACAGTTTTTTTGGTCAAGCCGTGTCCTTATAATTTACACTTTGCCTTCATCCCAAATAGAGACATGGAATTTAGATTTGAAAAGGATATTTTTGTATGTATTTCTTAAAATTTTTTCATAAACTTGTGAAGGTGGACATTATAACGTTAAAAATCATTGATTTTTCACATTTAATTTCTAGTAAACTTGGCATAAATATGTCTTTATTAAATTATTGTGTTACAAAGCAAAATGAGTGACAATTGCTTAAATTTAACCGTGCCAAAAGGTTCACCTTAAATTGAGCGTACTTCCGGAAAAGAACGAGTTTATTAATTATTTACCTTGCTTAAAAATATGTGTTTTGTTCGAAACTAAAGTTAAGACATAAAATCAGTCTAAATTCATAAAATAATATCTGTTAAAAAGTTAAATTACATCGTGTAAAATTCAACAATTTATACTTATCACTAGACAAAAAACTATACGCATTACTCATGTAAATAATTTCACTCGTCACGGTAGCCAAAACTCTACCATCCATAACTCATGTCTCCACAAAAGTCTTGGCAAAACAAACATTCAACACTTTGGTATCCAAAAAAAACGAGAGAGAAGATGAGATTGAATTTCTATCCACCTCTCAACTTTCTCTTTCTCTCTTTCTCTGGGTTTTTCCATATCTCGTCAGTTTTCTAAAGTGGGCATGCAAGTAAAAATGTGCGAGGCTTGACACCCCCACTACTTCCTCGTATGAATGCTGGTGGTCCGTCGGTGGGTATGATAATCGATTGTGTGCCCTGAAAAATTGCTGTAGTGGATAATCGTGGAGGAGAGAGGGTATAGTGCAGGGAGGGGAGGATGTAGTGGCGCATGGAGGGTGGAGAGAACCCGCCATGCAGGATTTTCCGGGTGCGAACCAATGGATGACACCACGGACGCCTCTAACTTCACGCCCTTACGTGTTTCTCACGACGCCCGACGACGACGATGATCACGACGACTGCCACCACGAGTTGCTGCTCTCTCTATTGATTCAACGCCATGATGCTTGTGTCCGGTGAGCGACTCAAATCACACCACAGCCACACACCACGATTTGCTTTCTCTCCACTGCTCACTTCCTTCCTCCAGGGCCGTCCACCTCCCACGCCAAGCTTTCCTCCTAATGCCAAGAAATCGCCAGCTTTTCTCCTTCCTCTTGCTCTCCCATTTTTTTGGTCACCACCAACATCTCGGCAGCTTTTCTTTCTTCGAATCCCATAAAAAAGAGCTCAACACTTTCCTCTCTCAGAGATTGATACATCCGAGGACAAAATAAACACAAATTCGAATCCTCCTGACTGTGCTTGGATTTTGTGGAAGAAAAAACCCTACGTTTTTGAGATGGTTAAAAATGTGTAGCAATATTTAGCTTGCAAAGAGGGGAAAATGAGATTCCATAAAATATTTACATGAGTACTTTGTAAATATGCATCCCTGCTGTGGTGTGGTTTATAATTATGAATTTTGCACCGTTTCCTAAATTAACATGAAATTGTACTCGACATGTTTGTACGTTTCGATCCCGTTGCAATATTAAAGGGCTTCCTTCCATTTAAATGGAAACTTAACAAAGTGATGTGCATGGATTGTAAACCTATAATCTGACCAAGGCAACATTTCACGTATCCTCATGTAGAAAAAATTGCAATTTCGTTGTACATGGCGTGGACAATCCTAGCGTAGAGAAACCGTATAATTGCCGACTATAACAAATAAGGTTCACTTTACCTTGCCTACAATCCAACCTCTGTAAGTGATCCGTTTCATCACGTCAGTAGTAAATAATCCTCCTGTCCGTCACGATTTATGTACGTATGAGTGACACTTACTTCGTCCCTTTCTAATTTTAGCAGCCTTACACAACACGACCACATACGACCCTCCTCTTCGTATCCATTATCTCAAACCCACACGCCTTTATGAATCTTAATAATATTTGTCTGAAAAATTTACGCAATACGAAATTGTAGGCAAAAAATTGCATAATTTTCATCCCGTATTCTTAAAAATATCATTAATGTCTACTTCATCATCAAATTACGACTTTTTCATAAAAGCTTTATCCACAATTAAATCTAATTTTT